ATCCACAACACATTCCAGCATGCTGCTCACATTTACCATTGTGATTAACTAGTTATTAAGCATAGGAATGGAGCAAAGGGGGAAGCCATACATTATTAGCATATTATTTGGTCAGCTTCACCAAGAAGCTGCAGCTTTGCACTCCCCAGGGAACCACCAGCTTATTTCCTGCAAAATGCTGGGGGAAGGGACTAGACAAAGGAAAGATAGACACATGCCCAGTGAAGTTGGGGTGACATAGGGAAGGTACTTGCCTGTCAATCAAACCTGGAGACAGAGATGGTTGGCCAGAATAGGCATGGCTACTGCAAGCCCACGGAAAATTTGGGAATATATAATCTCCTAGACCAGCGGTTCTCAACCTGTGGGTCGCGACCCCTTTGGCGGTCTAACGACCCTTTCACCGGGGTCGCCTAAAACCATCCTGCATATCAGATATTTACATTACGATTTATAACAGTAGCAACATTACAGTTATGAAGTAGCAACGAAAATAATTTTATGGTTGGGTCACAACATGAGGAACTGTATTTAAAGGGCCAGAAGGTTGAGAACCACTGTCTAGTAGAATCTAGACAAAGGAATTCTCTTTCTTGTTGCTCATGAATTCTCTTTCCTTCTTTTTTAAAAAATAATGATCTTTTTTAATATATACACAAATATATTTATTAATTTCAAAGAGGAATGTAGGAGAGAGAGATAGAAACATCAATGATGAGAGAGAATCATTGATCGGCTGCCTCCTGCACACCCCCTACTGGGGATTGAGCCAGCAACCCAGGCATGTGCCCTTGGCTGGAATCAAACCTGGAACCCTTCAGTCCACAGGCCGATGCTCTATCCATTGAGCAAAACTGGCTAGGGAGAATTCTCTTTTGTGTTGCTTTGGTTGCTCTATACCCCTGGCTCATGGGTTTCTTTTGCTCCTGCTTCCTTGCATTTGCCTGTGCTCCCTCCATAGCAGGTGGTCCTGTGGACCCCACATGCAATGGACTAATGAACTGTACAGCTGGAAACACAAGCTAAACTAGCCTGATGCTGGAATGGACCCCTGCTCCAACATGGAAAAGAAACTCCGGACACTGGCTCTGATTTTAGCTTTACTGAAACCACAGCGACACTTCCTCTATGATTGGGCGAAGGGAAATGGGACTTGGGAAACTCAGGGATTTAATTCCACGCAAATAAAAAATCACTCGTTCTCCAGTGCAAGTCTTAGAAAATTCCTTTTCTCAGGATATTGCAAGAATTCTAGTCCCAGCAGCAACCGGGGGAGATGAGGCCCTCCCCGTCCATTAACAACATATTATCTTTCTCTCCATTTTGTCTTTCGCTAATGAGCTGTGCCAGTGGCCAGTCAACCATATGGCTTTGGGGTGAAGGAATTTGACAAAGAGTACGAAGAAATACTTCCAATTAAATTGTGTCCGAAGATGAGAATTGTTTGTTTTTAATCTGAAACTTGGGGATACTTCTTGTCATGTCTATTCCACTAGCTTTGACTCCTAGGGTCTGCAGGTCACTAGGGAGCAAGCCCCATCCAAGTTCCCAATCCCCTGGGGGTGCTTCAGCAGCCCCATCACATTGTGACTTCCCAAGGGGGTAAGAAGACCGAGAAGTCATCCTTATTTAATCCCTAGCTGTTAGGACATTGCTTGGAAATGAGGGGCTCATGTTCTCTTTGCTGAAGAAACATCTAAATGAACACCTTGAGCACCTTTTTCAGATTTGGAAAGCAGACAACAGAGAATGGGAGAATGTGTTCTAGGTTGGATGGTTGGAGAGAGCTGTTTGCAATCTGGCCATTGTACGCTTTGCTGTTCCTTTTTACTTTTATAAGGGAGGAAGGAAGTGTAACTCAATTAAAAAAAAATCCCAACACTTTGTATTTGGCACATTTTACTTGTTAAACTTTCAGTGCTGATATAATTACTACTTCTTTTTTTTTTTTTTTTTTGGTGTGAATCACCTGAGGTGACCATTTATTCAAGTTGTATGTTTTTTAGAAATTAGCCTTTTTTAAAGTGAATATCTGTAATGAATGTTTTAGTTTGGGCTACGTGAAACCAACATATTCAAACATTTGTTTGAGAGGGAAGTTAATTCCAGCTACCCCTGCATTTTGGAAAGGTGTGGGCTGACTGGGGAAGAAGGTCTGAACCATTAAAGGCCTATGGCTTTTCACATCAAAATGGGGATGAAGGCATTGGGGGCCTGTGGGGGAGGGAGTGGTCACAATATTTGATTTGTGCTACTATTTTGCCACCATAGGCTTTTGTTTCATATAAACTTTCTGCTTTCACAGAATTGGCTTTTGTTTCATATAAACTTTCTGCTTTCACAGAATTGGAAAAAGAGCGAATGTGAGAAAGGCTTAATGTGAACAAATCTGGAAGAAAAATGGTTCTATTTAAGTTCAGATTAAACCATGCCATTTTATTTAAAGAGCAATCAGTTTTATAAGCAAGGTATAAAGAGTCAGTTTTAGAAATAGTTCTTTTTAGTTAAAAGAATTGAAAAAAATGTTAAAATTACTCTAACAATTAGAGTCACACTATTGCTGAACCTTGGAGAAATATAGCATTCTAAGTTGTGGTCCCAGTTCTTCTACGAGAAGGTAGACCTGGATTGTAAAAAAGATGTTAGAAAATTCTGAGCCCTAGGTAGCAGCATAACTATCACAACAGGCCATTCTACACAGCCTAGTGAAGGTCATTACCACATCAAACACAAAGTGCTTATTTTGTCATACACAAACACATAACTTTAGTAATAATCAAAAAGCATTTTACTAAAAATTAAAACTTCAACTATAGTTACAATTTAAAACAAAATGACAATAAAATAAGCACATAATTTTTGTTCAATACAACATTTTTAGCAAACAGAATGGTTTTCATCTTGATTTGTCAACCTTAAAAATAATTCAATGCCTCCTCCTTAAAAAAATCTATTGAGTTTGGGCTGAGTAGTGCTAACTCTGAGTTTGTTGTCTTGAATCATTCCTTAAGTAATTTTTAAACATTTGTTTTAGCTAAGAGGAAGGACATTCTGTATGATGAGAATTTTAATATAAAGTTCATGCAATTCAGAAAAACATGGACTCATGCTCAGATTTTATGTGAAATGTGTCAACAAATTCATCATCAGGCTTTGTTTTTTGTTGTTGTTGTTGTTGTTTTCATCTTTGATTATTTTATCCAAATCAGTAACTGCTTTGGTGATGATCCTGCTAAGTCACATTTGATGATTGATTTGTATCCTGGAAAGTCCATTCATTGAATGACAGGTTGGAATAAAGGATGCAAACATGGCTGCAATTTACTTAAAATTGTATGGCCATTTTGGTTGCTACTAAATTCTTTAAAAGTGATGATCAACAAAGTAATCCTTTTGCTTAAAGAGCTATAGGCCTTCAGAAACCCAAACTGACAATGATCTGAAACAGATAATACAAAATATTTCAAATAATCATTAGATTTCTGTGGAATTTCAGGTAGGCAAGTATTTCAATGTAAGAAACATGCTTTAAAAATACATTTTGCCTAAATCTTTAAAATAATGGCATTGTTTGCTATAGTATTATGCATGGTTGGGATAAAGACTATTCTCTTTTGGCTAAAAATGGTCAAATAGCAAATATGAACCATTGCTAAGCCCCTGACCTTTATTGACATCCAAGTCTTCTGAATCCTTACATTTAAAAGCAAAGAAACAGAGCCCTGGCCAGCATTGCTCAGTGGTTGAAGCCTCCGCCTGCACACTGAAGGGTCTTGGGTTTGATACCTGGGTTGCAGGTTTGCCCCGCCCCCCCCCGTCCCCGCCCCCAGCCTGGGTGCGTGTGAGACAATCAATGTGTCTCTCTTGCATTGATGTTTCTCTCTCCTCTGTTTCTCTCCCCAACCTCTCCCTTCCACTCTCTCTACAAATCAATGAAAAAAATCCTCACTCCTCTGGTGAAGGTTAAAAATAATAATAATAAAAGCAAAGAAGCAGCAAATGCCTTTCAAAGAGGAGCTCACTCAGGATGAAAAATATTAAAATAATTAAAGTTTAGAATTGAAATTTTCAGCTTATGTGAGTCCTCTATAGAGAATAGACCTGATGCAAATTGTCAGCTCTTCCCAACCACCTTCCCCCTTGCTCTCCTTTCCTCTTCCTTTATTGAATATATTGTGTGCCCACCATGTGTACACTACTCTTCTAGGTGCCAAGGAATCATTTAGACCAGCCGTGGGCAAACTACGGCCCGCGGGCCGGATCCGGCCCGTTTGAAATGAATAAAACTAAAAAAAAAAAAAGACCGTACCCTTTTATGTAATGATGTTTACTTTGAATTTATATTAGTTCACACAAACACTCCATCCATGCTTTTGTTCCGGCCCTCCGGTCCAGTTTAAGAACCCATTGTGGCCCTCGAGTCAAAAAGTTTGCCCACCCCTGATTTAGACATTAGTTTTAGCAGAAAGAAGTTGTGACCCACCTATGAAACACAGCTCCAGGGTTAGGTGGGAATGAGGATAATAGGCCAAGGCTGGTGCTTACTCTCCTTCAAAATATATTCCTAGGCTGAGTCCACACATAGGAATTCCAAATCACGTTCCACCGTAGCCACCCACATGTTTCTCAGCCCTGCCTAACCCAGAGAGTGAGCCATCTTTCCCGTTCCCCGAACCTGGGCTGTTGTTCATTGCACCTGGGCAGGTTGCTTCCTTTGGAGAAATTCCCTAATGAGGCATCACATGCAAGCTGACAGCAGATGCTGAAAGTTATCTCAGCAATTGCTTACACCTCCCAGTGCCAGCTGGCACTCGCACACGCAGCCTCCTGGTGAAGTCAATGGATGGGAAACCACGGGGAGGCCACCTCTGGGGCAGGGGCTTCTGAGTAGACAGCACTAAGGACAGAGTCCCGTCTGATAGGCTGACTGGATCTGCAGTGGCATGGGATTTTGAAAGCTTCAGATTGGAAACCTTTTGCCTTTGCATTTATGTTTATAGAAGCGGGAAAGGCAGCTGCGTTGAAGACAATGACTCACACGTTTTTGCTGTACTGCTTAGTGTTTCTTTTGCCCACAGAGTCCTGCAGGACATTATGCCAGGTAAGAGAATGGAGGTGGGGGGGATGGAATGGTGGGGAGAAGCAAACGGGAATCTAAAACCCGGCTCTAGGTTATCTGAGCTGAAGTGTAGGGAGAAGATGGTGGTAGAATGGTTCAGCCAGATGAAATTGCAGTTGCAACTATATGTGTGCAACACCCATTTTAGTCAAGAGCTGTAAATTATTATTTTTCCATCAACTTTTCCTATAAGTTCCTGAGATACAATGAGGCTCAAATGATTTAAGGGTGACAATCTCTTCTTTCTATAGCCTTTGATGATGAAGTTTTCAGTTGCTTGTAACTAGGGCCACTTCCTCAGGGACACTTGAGAATGTAGGTGCGGTGAGGGTCACACTAACTGAGAGAGATAATTAATGGCATTTAGTGTGGGCAGAACCTAGGAATGGTCTGGCACAATGAAGCATTGTCCCACCCCAAATGGCATCTTCTTTGAGAAACCTGATAGTGACCACCATGGATGGGCTGCAAGGAGTAAAGAGCAACTCAGGTAGCCAATGGCTAATCAAAATCTAACTGGGATGGAGTTTGTAGCAATGCACTATCTTCACATTTAGTGGGACAGTGAGCCTGATGGCTCTCTCTGGAATATTTTTCCTCATACTACAAGTCATTTTAATTTCCTATTAGTTATTTGTTTAAAATAAGGTATGGAGGATCAGAGAGAGAGAGAGAGAGAGAGAGAGAGAAATATTTTGAGCTTCTTGAGAAGGGAATATTATTATTGGGCCACAAGATCTGAAAGAGAGCTTTGAGATCAACCAGTGAAGCTCCACTCCCTTATTTTATCAATGGGGAAACGGAGGCCCACGGTGTGGAATGTGACTTGCTTGAGGGTACATACCTACTAAGCTAAAGAGCCAAGCCCAGGACCCTTGTCTTCAGATTCTTAGTTTCTTTATCTTTCCATTTTAATATATACTTTCTCTTTTTTAAAAAAGCAAAAGTGTGGAAATTTATTATATGTTATTACAAACTCCACAGATGGGGAGGTGGCCCAAGAATGGGTTGACCTTCATACGTACTTTCTTGAGAAGAGCCTCCTTAGGAAAGAATAACTAAAAATTCTTTCTAAGAGTTTCCAAATGATATTCACTTTACTCTCTCAGTAATTTGTCCTTGGATGGGAATTTTCTCCATGACTCCTCTTCCCCCAACCCTGAGCTGGTGCCTAGTTTCTGGGAGAGATTAGAGACTCCTTCAGAAAGACCTTTCCCAGGAGGCATCCCAACCCCCACATGAGGTACTATTTCCTCCCTTCATTTTCTCTTCCACGTTTTCTTACAGGACAGACTTAAAGAATAGTCAGAGTTTCAGAGGTTAGCTTTGTTTTCTTTATTATTGGGGATCACCTTATCAGGACTTATCCTGTCCTTTTATTCTTACTAAACAAGTTGCTGGATGCTACTCCTCTCCTGACCTGACTACTAACTCAGGCAGCTCCACAGGTTGAGCAGGTGGCAGGTTTTGAAGTGTGGTTTGTTTTTTTCCAATATCAGGTTGACAATGGTTGGTATCTGAAGCTAACATAGCTCCTAGTCAATGCCACCCAAGAAATGAAATGACCAGGAGCTGTGCATGGCTGTGCTTTGACAAATTAACTAGAAGGAAGTGAATCAGGTCCTTCTCTTAAGAAGGCAGAGTTTCTAGAATTCCTTGCAAATAGCACAGTACAGCCTTGTGCCCACACATCTGATTACTATAATGTGACTTCACTGTAGTCTGTTCAATGGGTCAAGTATCATCCAGAGTTGTCCACTTTTATGTGCCTTATTATGGCGTATTGGAGATCATGACCATCTCAAGATGGGCTTATGGCATCTTGAGATGCTTGTACTTCCATACGCCCTCCTCTGCCTTCTCCATTGGACATGGGTTGACTTGATGGGAAGAGCAGTATTGTAGGAGTAGGAGAACCAAGTTCTAGTCCCACTTCTAAGAGGATTGCCCTAGATAGCCTTGTGCAAGTCACATCATCTATCAAAGACTCACTTTCCTTACCTGTACAATAAAGGGGTTGGGCTGGTTGATCGATAAGATCTTTCAAAACTCCAAAAATATTATTTTAGTGTTCTTGTTTAGTGGAAGGCCTTTAGCTCCTCCATGTATATACTAAAGCTTTCTGTGAGGGTCACACTGACTGAGAGAGATATTTAATGGCATTTGGTGCGGGCAGAACCTAGGAATGGTCTGGCACAGTGAAGCATTGTCCCACCCCAAATGGCATCTTCTTTGAGATTATTTTAGTGTTCTTGTTTAGTGGAAGGCCTTTAGCTCCTCCATGTATATACTAAAGCTTTCTCTTGATTGTGAAATGAGAATTCATCTTACATCAGTATTTTGAAGGATTTGTATTCCATGAATCAGAGATACCTTCCTCACTTTGGACAGACCTGAAATGCTCAATTCAGATTCTCCATAAATTCTCATTTGGTAGAGAAAACATAAGATTCAGCTTTGTTTTTTGATATCATAGAGAGAAATAATGTTGTGAAGAAGAAAGGGATATGAACTCCAAGTGTTAGTCACACAGCTAAGTCATTGTATTTCCAGTTCCTTCCCAATGGTTGAGATCTAGGAATGCAGGTTGGAGTAATTGTACCAGGGCTCTTTCCAGGCCCTAGAGGGAAAACTTCTGGTCAAGAAACAGGAATATTTAGACTTATTCTCCAAACACACAGACATACATGTACATATATGCCAGTATATTCAGACATACTAATATGTATGTATATTTATATGTACTGATCTAGCTACAAAGGGGGATGTGAAGCACAATTAACAACCCATGCTATGTTCTTAAGGAACTTATAATTTAATTTAGAAAATAATAAGCGTATATAAAAATGATTAGATAGTATTACAACAGGTCAGGTGAGTAGGTGCCAAGTATTGAATGAGTGGTATGCTTGTATGGATAATAAATTTTATAGGAGCAAGAGAGGAAGAGATGTACTATCTAGAACTAGATCGAGAAAGACTTCTTAGAGGAGGCAAACTTGAGCTTCATATGTAATAGCCATTCCCTAAGTCCATTTTCAGAGAATAATAATGATAGCTATATCTTAATTACTACTTACAACATTGAAGGCCCAGTTCTAAGTGCCTTTCTTACATGATCTCATTTATTCTTCATAAAAATCATCTGAGGCAAGAGTATGAAATTGTCATACTATAATTCCTACCCTGCTTTATGGATGAGGAAAGTGAGGCTCAGAGAGATGAACTTTCTCAGGATGTCAAGTGGCAGTGTTGGGATGTGAACCCAATGTTCTGTTCCCAGAGTCACCCATTGACCACAAAATGACACTGCTGCTCAGTGAAGGGTACAATATCTACAAATGGATGAGAAAGGAAGGGCTTCTAATCATGAGAGGTGGGAATGCTCATGGTAAGAGGAAGCCAGGTTTTGTGGGAACCACTCCCTAGAACATAAAATGACAAATACAAAATTTAGGGAAAAGTGAATATTTAATTAGAATGAGAAAAAGAATCATAACAAACTTCAAATTTAGAATAATTACTCAGCATTATTCAGGAATAAATTCAATAAAATAACAATATTTTTTATTAAGGTACCACCCATATTTTTGTTCCAAATTTTTGGCTGCATACTTGCATATCAATAATTTTATATATTTTTTTCTATAGAGAGGATAGATTATTCAGTCTAGCATTGCTGATTAACTTTGTTATTCTAGTTTAGAAAAATAGCTTTTAGTTTCTGGATTCATTATGAGTAATGCCATGTAAATATGTAGAACTATTGTGAACTTTGGGGAAACCTCTAGCAAGTGTCTTTCATATATGACCTACAGGGTTTCAGGGCTCTTAGAACTTGCTTATTCTGTGACTAATTGTAAGTACTTCTACCTAGAATTAAAGCCACTTCTGTGTTGATGTTCTCATTGTAATGCAGAAATGACTGCAAACTATAGAAGTACTATTAAGTCCAGGCTAAATGTATCCCCAACTCACTTCTACTTGTCCAGATTCCATAAATAGGTACGACCTCTCTAGTGCTGTCCAAAATGGGGGAATATAAATGGGGAATTTGGAGTGGCAAAAAGTAATGGTCTGAGCAGATGCTGGTTAAACAGTGTTGCTTTTGACAATGTAATAAAAACGTAAGAGCATGTGAGCCCATTGCTAGATCCTCTCTCAGTGCTTCAAAGGGGCCCATACAGGCAATGAATTCTGAAGCTTAACCGTCATTAACTTCCCAGTAAATCCACCTCTGCTCATGATGCTCCTGGGTAGAATGTAGCTCATCCTTACCGGAGCGGAACAAAGGATTCTACTGAAGAGCCATGGGAGAGATAGCGATCCAGGCTAAAGGGCAGATGGGGTCATGGGCCACATGTCATGGTCTCAGCTTTTGGTGGCGTCCTGGTGTCACAGCTGATGAAGATGTGGTCGTTGGCCTGTGACTAAAGTGAATCATTGGGTTGGCTTCTCACCAATTGATTTTGATGTGAATTTTTATTTTCCCTCCCTAGGCTGCCAGCAAAAGCAAGGAGAAAGTGTCTGCCAAGCCACACGGTATGTTGGTAGCAATTACTAATGAAATGAAAGTTTTACTGTCCATCTGTTATAATAGAGGGCCATCCTTGGCCCTGTCTTATGGCCTAGCAGATGGGACTCCCTGATATTTGCACTGGGACTTCCTTTTTATATTTCTCACATTAAAATGTAACTTTGACCTCTACTTCCCTCTCTTGCCAGTACCCTCTGCTCCATCCTGGTCTTAGAGTTATTTACTATAAATCCTTTGGATTGAGCCAACTCAGACTGGGGCAGTGGCTAGCAGAGGTCTGTGAGAACCCATTGATGACGTAACTGATTATAAAGTTCCAGACTTGGGAGGTTTCTTAGAGAACATCTGTTAAAGAGGCTTCCAAACTGTCTCCTCCTGGAGGGGCCTGAGGAGGTGCTCAGGGTGTTCCTGGGAGGTGTGAGAGGGACCTGGGACTGACCCTCTCACTGGGCCAGTTACGCTTTTAACTATTTGTTTTGAAACATGTTTTTATTGATTTCAGAGAGAGGAAAGGAGGGGGAGAGAGAGAGAGAAACATCGATGAGAGAGAAATATTGATCAGCTGCCTTTTGCACACCCCCTACAGGGGACCGAGCCTGCAACCTGGGTATGTGCTCTGACAGAGAATGGAACCAGCAACCTCCTGGTGCATGGGATGACGCTCAACCAACCGAGCCACACCAGCCAGGCTATTTTCTGCATTTGAGTTCAGGATAAGATTTTGTTGGAAATAATAGTAGTTTGTCACTGAAATATAGTGTGTCCCAATGAAAGTATACACATACTTGGAATAATTATAAAGGCAGTGTGTTTATTAAAATACATTTCACTTTCAAATTTGAGGCATCAGCTATTACAGTGTGTATGCATTTTTGGGGGACACCCTGTATATGATGGTCACTGATATACTTCAATCTTCCTCCACTTTACCAAGTCCACAGGATTTATGCGCCTTCATGTGGCGACACCTTGTCCCTGAGTCCATATCTCTCCATCTGATGCTGATGCCTTTTATCTTCTCAGGTGCATGTGATGGGGTCTGTGTGACAGCTATCACAGTGTGTATACATTTTGGGGGGACACCCTGTATATGATGGTCACTGATATACTTCAATCTTCCTCCACTTTACCAAGTCCACAGGATTTATGCGCCTTCATGTGGCGACACCTTGTCCCTGAGTCCATATCTCTCCATCTGATGCTGATGCCTTTTATCTTCTCAGGTGCATGTGATGGGGTCTGTGTGGACAATTCTCATTGCAGTCAACCTTGCCCTCCAGATACTCCGGGAAATATGGGTTTTTTATGTAGGCGAAATAAATGGCACAAGATCACTGATACCTGCCAGACTCTTACCGCCATCAACATCTTTGAGGTAATAATATATTTTCTCTCACATGCAAAGTGGAGCCTCAAATTAGCAATGCATGTTGCACTCAGTAAGAGAGAGGGACAGGGTGGTAAGTAGAGGTGCTTGTAGCTGAATACGTAAACATCTACCTGTTCTCTCTCTATATATACTGGAATGGCATTCCTAACTTTGGGCACCTAAAAGTCTATTCTCATGTCTCCCACACCTTCCATGACACAAAGGCACCAGATCGCTAAGGCCAGAGCTAGAAGAGCTGTCTAGAATCATCACAGTTTACTTCTCCACTTTCACTCAGCTCTTTAATACCCCAAAGCCCAGCTACTCAATGTGTCCTTCACTGACCGGCAGCACAGGGCATCTCTGAGAACTTTCAGACACCGGGCAATTGGGCCCCATCCAGACCTGCTGAATCTGAACCTGCATTTTACCAAGATCTCAATGTGACTCCAGTGCTCATTAAAGCACAAGAAGAGAGCTGAACCTGGAGGAAAGGACTTTGTTGTCAAACAAAGGAACATATTTCCACATATACTTAAGTTGTTACATATTTTAAAAAGTCAAATTCTAGTAAATAAAATCAGGTCAAATGGCATTTCTTCTTCCTTTGTTTCCTTTTCTCCTCTTCTATCAGGAGCATTACCTTTCTGAAGGTCAGCTCCTGATTCGCTCAGGGGAGTCAATGCTTTGGCCTCTCTTGTGTTCTGGCAACATTCCCATGCCCTGTTTGGGGCATCGCTGGGGGAGGCAGTGGATGCTATACCTGAAGTTCCCCTACCAGACTTCAAAACGCTGCCCATCCCTGATTTGAAGGATCTGAACAAAGTACACATGGAGACCCACATTCCATATGTCTTAATATTTAAATGCTTTCAATAAACTCTACAAACCACTAAATAAAACAGATTCTGTCAGCCTCCCATTCTAGATTCCATCCTGCACCTCATGGGTGGTAGAAGGCCAAGGCCACACATCCATAAGCCTGAACACAGGTGTCCCTTTGACACATCTCCGGCCTACAGGTGGCCTGGTCCATCCGTGGCAGCACAGACTTAAGGAAGGCCCTGCAAATGGGCTTGCTGTTGTCATGTAGAATAATCAGGTGCCTGGAAGCAGGGACATGGGTTCTGTGTAGGCCCATCCTCTAGGCCAGTGATGGCGAACCTAAGACACGCGTGTCAGAGGTAACACACGAACTCATTTTTTTTTATTGATTTTTCTTTGTTAAATGGCACTTAAATATATAAAATAAACATCAAAAATATAAGTCTTTGTTTTACTATGGTTGCAAATGTCAAAAAAATTCTATATGTGACACGGCACCAGAGTTAACTTAGGGTTTTTCAAAATGCTGACACGCCGAGCTCAAAAGGTTCGCCATCACTGCTCTAAGCCATGGATTTCTTGTCCTCCTGTAGGGGAAGGCTGGAGAAAGGGTTCTGCTAAAGCAAGGTTTGGCAATTTGGCAATTTTGTTCTGTAAAGAGCCAGATAGTAAATATTTTTATTTCAATTGTTGTACTGTTGATATTTGGCTCTGTTGACTAATGAGTTTGCCAACCACTGCTCTAGGCCATGGATTCCTTGTCCTTCTGAAGGGGAAGCCTGGAGAAAGGTTTCTGTTAAAGCAAGGTTTGGCAATTTGGCAATTCTGTTCTGTAAAGAGCCAGATAGTAAATACTTTCGGCATTGTAGATATTATTGTCTCTGTTGCAACTACTCAACTCTGCTACGGTAGCAAGAAAGCAGCCTAGTGAATGAGCAAGCCGAGTCCCAACAAAACTTCATTGACAAAAAAACAGACGGCAAACATGCGGCTATAGTTTGCGACCCCTGCTTTAAAGTGTGGGACCCAGAGCCCGATCTGTGGGGAAATGCTGTCTATCACTATTTTTAGTCATTCTTCTCTCTTGGTGTTCCAGTTGATTCATTCAAATCTAGTTGGAAAGTTCTATTTTTTTAAAAAAAAATGTGTTTATGTCTTATGCTTTGCCCTTGGGAAGAATGAAAAGTAAGTTTAAATGGCATGAGAAATGTACCCATGTGCACAGTATATGTACACAGAAGGGGTGTGGAGGGGTGTGCTAAGGATAACAATTGCTGTTTGGATATAGGGGGTTCAGGATTAGGCAGCTGTTCATACACCTTGGTGTTGGGCAGGTGGTTCCACAGCAGATGTGACCTTGACAATGTAAAATAGAAAAGCATTATGCAATATACAATTGTGTAATAAGGCTGTCCTACATTGTAGTAAAGGTACTTTTACATTGAAAACAAAAGTAACAAACTCTCCTTTTGCCATTTCTTAGGAGGATTTAAATACAGTTCCATCATTTGGAAGTAGTATACACATAAATGAATATTCTGGAAAGACTGAGACCATTGCAGATAAGTTGATGCGGAAGTGTCCGCAGGATTTGTCCTGTGTTGTTAAGAACATTCAGCGTTCTCCCCGGATACCAGGAAACATCGCTGTCATCGTGCAGCTACTACACAACATATCGACAATGCTGTCGACAGATGTGGATGAAGCAAAGATGCAGGTGAGTGGCCTTGAACATTTGTGGTTTTTTTGGGGGGAGGTGGGGGGAATGGGAAAGGAATGCAGGTTTAGTTGGAGCTTTTGAGGGACTGAGGAGACCATGTCTTTCACTTCCATTATTTCCATTACCTGGTAAATGATTAAAATAAATCCTCATTGAAGAAAAAAATGAATGAAAAAAGTGAATACATTCAATTAACAAGCATTTAAAGAGAGCACTTACCTGGTGCTGGATTGGACATTGAAGCAAGCTTTTTCCATGTATATTTTGGCTACTGTGAATCTCCAAGAACCGTTCTAGGTCCTGCAGAGAGGAAGACATTTATTTGTGAATCAGAACAGGTTGCTAAAATGGAAAAAAAAACAAAAACCACACAACTGGGTGTCCAAAAAACATCCAAATAGGTCTGCTGTAGAAATGTGAAATGGAATTGGACATGCTTCCTTTGTGTCTGACCTTCAAAGTAGAGGATAAGAAAAAGGAGGTCCAGCCTCTGGGGTCAGCTTCCAATGTGTCATGTTCCTATACAATGCCCTGCACACAGTTGGGGTTTAATAGATATTAATTACATAGTGGGTGCTCTGGGCAGGGCAGGCAAATTGCTAGTGTCACCCAGGTGTGAAGTGGAACAGATGATGGAAATGAACATGGTGAAGGCTGCCCATTTGCCTGCCTCACAGGAAGGCATCACATGAGCAGGGGGAGGGCAGCTCCCTGGTAGCTCTTTCCTCCAACACAAACCTGAGCGGCATGTGAATCACCTGGGGATCTCATTAAGGTGCACATTCTGATTCACAGGGTTTGGAGTAGGGCCTGAGATTCTGTATCTTTAAGAGGTTCCCAGGGCATGCCTATGTTACTGGTTGAAGGACCACGCTTTATAAAAGTGAAAATTAAATATGGGACTGCATTTTACCCAGTGAATATATGCACCCTTATGTTCATAACAATGCAATTTACAATAGCTAAGATCCGGAAACAGCCCAGTGCCTCAAGGAAGATACTTAAGACATTATAGCATTTATGTTATCTGTGCCCATCAGTAGATGAGTGGATAAAAAAGCTATGCTACATTTACGCCATAGAATACTATGAAGCAGTAAAAAGAACGATCTCTTATCCTTTGAGACAGCATGGAGGAACCTGGAGAGCATTATGCTAAGTGAAATAAGCCAGTCAGAGAAAGACAAATACCACATGATCTCACTCATATGTGGAATATAATAACCTGATGAACAAAATAGATCCAGAGACATAGAAGCATAGAACAGACTATGGAATCTCAGAGGAAAGGCAGGGGAGGGTGGGTGGGCAGATGGGCAGAAATCAACCAAAGAACTTGTATGCATATATGCATAACCCATGGACACAGACAGTAGTGTGGTGAAGGCCTAGGGTGGGGGTGGATTTGGGCTAAAAGGGGTCAATGGGGAAAGGAGGGGGACATATGTAATACTTTCAACAGTAAAGTGTTTTTTTTTAAGTGAAGCTTGAATGTCCTGGCAGATTCAGACAGTAGCTCAATACTAATGCCCGTAGGTGGGCTAAAAGGGGTCAATGGGGGAAGGAGGGGAACATATGTAATACTTTCAACAGTAAAGTTTTTTTTTTAAATGAAGCTTGAATGTCTGGCAGATTCAGACAGTAGCTCAATACTAATGCCCGTTCTTCATTGACAGAGTTACAGCATCATGGCCAACCACATTCTTGATAGCAAAAGCATCTCCAACTGGACCTTCATCCCTGAGAAAAACAGCAGCTGCGTGCTGCTGCACTCAGTCAATAGCTTTGCAAGAAAACTACTCATAAATAAATATCCCATTGACATATCGGATGTGTTTATTCATACTATGTGCACCTTCATATCTGGAGATAACAATGGAAAGAATTTAACTTTCTCCATGAGAGTTAACGACACCCGCAATAGTGTCACTGGGAGGGTGTTGATCAGCAGAGAGGAAGCCCAGAAGGTGCGCTCTCCTTCTCAGGTCATCAGCATTGCATTTCCAACCCTTGGAGCCATCTTAGAGGCCAGTCTTCTGGAAAAGGTCACCGTGAATGGACTTGTCCTGTCTGTCATTCTGCCCAAGGAACTTAAAAGGATCTCACTGGTTTTTGAAAAGATCAGGAATGCAGAGGACAGCAGGACACAGTGTGTTGGCTGGCACTCGTTAGAGAGCAGATGGGACCAGCACGCCTGCCAAATGATTCAGGAAACCTCCCAGCAAGCTGTTTGCAAATGTAGGCCAAGCAAGTTGTTTACCTCCTTCTCCATTCTTATGTCACCACACACCTTGCAGAGTCCCATCCTGACTTACATCACGTACATAGGCCTGGGCGTTTCCATTTGCAGCTTGATCCTTTGCTTGTCCATCGAGGCCTTGGTCTGGAGCCGAGTGACGAAGACAGAGATCTCCTATTTACGCCACCTGTGTATTGCCAACGTCGCGGCTACCTTGCTGATGGCTGATGTGTGGTTCATCGTGGCTTCCTTTCTTAGTGGTCCAAGGACACACCACAATGGATGTGTGGCAGCGACGTTTTTTGTTCATTTCTTTTACCTTTCTGTGTTTTTCTGGATGCTCGCTAAGGCACTTCTTATCCTCTATGGAATCCTGATTGTTTTCCATACACTGCCCAAGTCAGTCCTGGTGGCATCTCTCTTTTCCGTGGGATACGGTTGCCCTTTGGTCATTGCTGTTGTTACGGTTGCTGCCACTGAGCCTGGCAAAGGCTACCTACGGCCTGAGGCCTGCTGGCTCAACTGGGACATGACCAAGGCCCTCCTGGCCTTTGTGGTCCCAGCGCTGGCCATTGTGGTAGTAAACCTGATCACGGTGACACTGGTGATTGTCAAAACCCGGCGAGCTACCATTGGCAGTTCCATGTTCCAGGAGGTGAGAGCTATCGTGAGAATCAGTAAGAACATCGCCATCCTCACACCACTGCTGGGCCTGACCTGGGGATTCGGAATAGCTACAGTCATCGACGATAGCTCCCTGTTCTTCCACATTCTCTTCTCCTTGCTTAATGCTTTCCAGGTAAGTTCAGATGCTTCTGACCAAGTCCAAAGGGAGAGAATTTGGAAAGAAGTTTTGTGATCTGGAGGGTGTGCCATCATATTTATTTATAAAAGACAGTGGATTTGGAATAGCCTACTGAGTCAGGAAATACACTTTTGTTTCAGAAAGGCCTGGATTCAAATCTTGACTCTCTCATTTGCTAATGTGTAACATTCTCCTGGGATATTTGCTTAACTTTCCAAGCCATATTTTCCCACTTATTAAATGAGCACAATCTGCTCACTTTATAGTAGTTTTTGGAAAATGAAATAAAATAGTGAATGGGACAAGACCAAGTAACCTAACAGTAGACTGAGTTTTAACTAGTTTAGAAATGAAATAATACCACTTCCCCCCAAATCTAGGTATGTAACTGGGAGTATTTACATATGCACATTCATATTTTATTCCATTTAGAATGTTTAGTTACCACTGGAAACCATCTTAATGGTATTAAAGATAATTTCCCTTGTCCTTTCCTCTCTTACCTCACCTCTTTGAATTAAAAAATGTTCACAGTTTCATGTACATCCTTACCAAACTTTCTATACTCACATATAAGCATATTTTCACATAATATGAGTTAAAAAACAATGCATAGTATTTTGAAACTTACTCTACCACTTAAAAATACATCCTAGCATTTTCCAGGTTATGTCTCTTTAATGGCTGGATATTATTCAACAGTCAATAATTCCCTTCTTGAATGAAATTTCTTTTTCATTTTTTTCTGTCACAGTGCACTAATGAGTCAAAGTTTATTATATTGAATGCCAAATATGTAAATAACAACTAATTAAAAAGGAAGCTTTTATTTTTATAGACTTCTAAAATATTTATTTTCCTGAATGTTTCTTTATTTAAAAATAATAGAGATTTTATGTCAAATATTTTTTCCATATTTCTCTTTCAAAATTTAAATATACATGATTTTATCTACAATAGATATTTTAATGTCTTAGAGAACAATGCTAACATTGTTGCTTTTGTGCGTTTCTATAGAATATATTAATTGTGCCCTACACTTTTTGTATAGCTCTTAATAATTATCAATTCCCTTACCCATGTTTATGCAGCTCATCACTGATAGAACTCATTTTAATGTCTTAGAGAAGAATGCTAACATTGTTGCTTTGTGCGTTTCTATAGAATATATTAATTGTACCCTACACTTTTTGTATAGCTCTTGATAATTATCAATTCCTTACCCATGTTTATGCAGCTCATCACTGATAGAACTGGGATAAAAACCTAGTGTTCCTAAATTTCTGTTCAGCATATCCAGTGGCTATTTGTCATGGACTTAATGAGTTCATGTCTTAGTCCTCACATTTTCATTCTCTTGTCTCCCTTGGGCCATCTTGACTGTGGTTTTCATTTTGTAATAGCCTGTGAGCACTTGTATTTTTCCCTGTCATAACAGGATCAACTCAGTTTGTAATATAAACTCAGTTTCTGCCTTGATACCTGGCAAGGAGAAGGGTGGGGCCCATCTAAGTACCAATACCGATGGGCCAGTGAGAAGCTGAGAACAGGATTTGGGTCAAGGCTAGACTCCAGGGCAGGCATGAGGCAGTGGTGTTCTGGAGCTGGCTTGTACTGACTCAGGAGAGATAACTACTGTATTTTCAACAAATTTTCAAGGTGGTGTAAGCACAGACATCATTAAATTCTATAGAATTACAATTAAATAAATTAGATTTAAATGGAAGGCCAAACATCCTCAAAATGCATCCCTTCCTAATTGTTTTTCCTATATTCTACTATGCTTGTGAGGTTATTTGAATCTGCTGTATCTGTCTGGTGGAAACACGAGAGAATGGATGTGCCCATCTCTTCCTGACTCCATGGTCAGCGATGTCATGTTGCTAAATTTAAATTAATCATGGTGGGAGCCATGTGGATCAAGATAATCTTGGGAGGAGAGAAGGAGAGCCACAGGTCCAGAGAGGTGGGAGACAGAAACTACTGAGAGGAAGAAGTGGGGCAAGCAGAGTGTTAGGATGAACCGAGATGAGGGGCAATTGAGGCTGATGGAGCAAGCATAGAAGAAAGATCATAAATATCCCAGGAGATCCAGAGGTGTAGGAGAAAGCTTCCTGGTCCTAGGCTTGTGGGAGCACACCCATTAGTTTTTAAGCTCAACCACCCCCTTTACTAGGGAAGGATGATTATACATGGTGGGGGCAAATGCCAGTTTACAGCTGAGTACTTGAAACAAAGAATTTGTCCTTATATTATCACTTATTAATTATTGTATTGTGTTCCATATGAACAACTGTAAACCCACTTTTGCCCCACCCTGTACAGTCAGTTGCTGCATTGAATGCTACTTGGTCAAGGTACCATTTCTAGTTGGTATCTTCTCTTGTATTTACTGAGAGTAATTGTGGGCTGGGTAAGATTTGCAGACCCATATAACACTGGGTGGCTTATGAACAACAGAAATTTATTTCTCAAAGTTCTGGAAGCTGGGGGGTCCAAGATCAAGGCATAAGCAGATTCGGTGTCTGGTGAGAACCTACTTCCTGGTTTATAGATGGACAGCTAAGAGTGTCAGACAAAAGAGCAATCTAAGAGAAGCACTCCAAGCTTGGAGCACTTGCTGGACTGGCTGAATGGAGACGTATAGTTAGTATGTTTGGAGGAATGGATTAGCTGCATGGCCATCCAGGCACTGGTCCCTGTGAAAGTCCCCACCTCTCAGCTAAGCTTTTGCAAATCATGGCAGCAGTGGGTTTGGTATCGTCCCTGCTGATGACCACCTGGTTATAACATCTTAATTATTTTGTATGTCACCCATGTGCCTCGACAGGCCTCTGCCTGGGTAAGGGTTCACATTTGATTATGCAATCAGAGCAACTTAATAAGGATGCCTAAATCAAAGGTCATTATCTTATTTCTCTTCTCAGATGAGCAAAGAGCTGAGTATTCACACTTTTAAGAGAAATTTTGTCTAATCAATATTGCTGTCTATCACATTTTCAAAGTTGAGTCTCTGAGCTTCCCTTTCCTTATCTGCAAAATAGGGTGAATACTTTTCCTTCTTCCCAGGTGGTTTTGTACCGCTACATATGAAAAAAGATTGAAACTCAAATGGACTATAACGGTGGAGGACCAGCCTCCATCATTATATTTTTTATGGAAAATGAGAGATATGAGAGCTAATTAATTCCCTCTATATTATATTTGGATCACTTATTTATGAGCACCCATTATGTGCTTAGAACTCAATCTGTTTGGGGTCTTGGTTTTTCTGATGATCCATGTACCTAATTTTTCTTTGCAAATTTTATAACAGTTTTTTGGTTGTGGGTGGGGGAGGGAGGTTGAGGGTGTTAAATAAAGCTGAGCATGGATGCTTTTTATTTATTTATTTCTGTGGAAATTTCTTTCATTATTAATTACTCAGGGATTGTAAGGCTGCCATCCATTGCCTAACATCTCCTGGCTATTGCTTGAACCATTGTATTTTGATGAGATGCACAGCTCCTGATAAATGCAAAACACTTTATTTTGCCCAAATTAAAAATAAATTCTTATAATATGCTTATATGAATTAGGGACCTTGGTCTGTTAGGTTTTCTGAGGTACCCCAAGTATCTAGAACATGGCTGGCACGTGGAAGACACTCTATTAATATTTGTTGAGTGGAAGAATCTAGGTATTGTGACCTTAAAATGAGTCACACATTAAATCATATGGTGTGCATTTTTGTTTTATTTTGTTTTTTAATTAGTTTTATCAGTTTCAGAATAGGAATTAATAATGAATGCTGGTATTTCTTGTTATTATCAACATTACTTTGTAAATTGCTCTTCTTCACTCTTCTCTCTTTCTCAGGGCTTCTTCATCTTGGTGTTTGGAACAATCCTGGATCCAAAGGTACCATTAATTCTTCTTGTTTTGTTTTGTTTTGGTTTGGTTTTCTGCATTAACAATACTTGGCCCTGAACTGCTCATTTGTAAAGCCCACCTATTCAGGGTCTTTCATCTCAATTATTTGTACAGACACTTGAATAGGACATCACTGCTCTTTATGATGCAAGTAATATCAGCCATCTTTCAAGCTCTTATGGGGCTAAGTATATTATGTACATTAGCTCTAATCCTTAAAACAATCTTGAGTATTCCTATTTTCAGTTTTATGGATGAGGAAACAGACTCAGAGTGATTAAGTAGCATGCTTCAGAAACTCACTCTAACTCGTTGAAGCAGAAAGGAATGTATTAAATCTCACAATATCATCTTTGGGAAGATATCTCTTTGGCTTGGAGACATGGGGGCTATACACCAGGAATAGTCCCCAATTCATAGCACAGAACTGCTCCACATGCAACCCTTTCCATACTTTGCTGGACACAGAAGCACAGCTACCGAGACAATGTCAGACTTGGATGCTGAGCTAGAGTTGATGCTACTGCTGTTTCAGGGATCACCTCCTTCCTGCCTACTGAGGGCCACTGGCACCTGCTTTTTGAGTTTTCAGGTCTGATTGGCTGAGCCCAGGTCACATGGCTGCATCTTAGCTGCAAGGGAGGCTGAGAAAGTGAGTTCATGTCTTCTACCTTGGAGAGCAATGGATTCAAGGAAGGGAATTCTCCTAGTACAGAGAATGTATATGTAGTGGGTGGTGAAAACAAATAAAACCTAAACAAATGAGCAAAACATCAAATATTTGCTTAGGCTTCTAAAAGCACCCTTTTTCCATTGTACTATACTATTTCTTGAAATGAGAAAAGCAAATAAACCTTTCAGATGTAGATGCAAACACCTTTACTGCAGGGTTTATTATTTACTGTTTAATTAATTAATTGATTAATTATATTATCAATGCTATTCTACTAAAGTTAATATGCAAGGTTTGTAAAAAAGAAAAAAAAAGGCATTTCACAATGGTCCTTTCATTTTCTCATGAGAGTACCATAACCTGATATTCAGAGGTGAAAGTTTGACTATTTGTCTATTAATCTTGATATTTGTTTGTATTAGTTGCTTGTCATTGAGAAGTTTTTTTTTTTAACTCTCCTGCACCTCAGAATCCTGAAAGGGAATGCAGAAATAATGATGCTTTCCCTGCCTTTCCTGCTAAATTATGATAAAGAACAAAAGCAATTTTGCAGGGGAAAACACATAGAAAGCACTGAAGTTATGTAGCTGTATATCATATTATTATGTTTTTTAATTAGTCTAAAGCCACAACTAGTATTTGTAGCCAGAACATCAGTAACATTATTATTAGTGGGTCTGTATTAGGTGTTATGAGGTGTGCAAACACCTCTAAGACATGGAAGCATCCATCAAGAGCAAAACCTCATATCTTTAAAATTATAATGTAAAAGGTAAATATTGAAAGGTGTTATAATTAATTGACAAAAAGTTATACAGTAGTCCCCCCCTATTAATGGGGAATACTTTTCAAGATCCCCAGTGGATTTGTGAAACCATGGATAATATCTACTAGTATTCCTATTTATAGTCTGTTTTTCTCCTACATGTACACATTTATTTTGATTTATGATAAAGTTTAATTTATAAATTAGGCACAGTAAGAGATTAACAATAATAACTAATAATAAAATAGAACAATTATAACAGTACTAGAGGCCCGGTGCATGGATTCATGCACCAGTGGGGTCCCTCAGCCATGCCTGCAGGGATCGGGCTGAAACTGGCTCTCTGGCATCCCCCAAGGGGCCCTGGATTTTGAGAGGGCACAGACTAGGCCAAGGGACCCCACTGGTGCACGATCTGGGCGGGGGAGGGATTGCAGGAGGGCTCCAGGGCATGTCCAGCCCATCTTACCCAGTCCAGATTGGCTGGACCCCAGCATCAAGCCAACCTACCAATCGGAGCGTCTGCCCCCTGGTGGTCAGTGCGCATCATTGTGACTGGTTGAACGGTTGAAAGGTCGGACACTTAGTATATCAGGCTTTTATTATATAGGATACTATAATAAAAGTTATGTAATTTCTTTCCTTCTCTCTCTCTCTCTCTCTCTCTCTCTCTCTCTCTCTCTCTTTCTTTCTTTTTTAAAATATGGGTCTGTTTGGCCCCAAAGTGCATACTTTTAATCTCAGTATATTCTACTTATTGAACACAAATTATTTTATTTTTTCTTATAACTATGAAAGGGAGACAGGAAGCTGCCTTCTTGCTGTGTCTGCACATGGTCTTTCCTCTGGCACACATCCCTGGTGTGTCTTCTTCTTATAAGGACACTGTCCTACTGGATTAGGTCCCTTCCCTTATGAACTCATTTAATCTTTTTATTTTTTTTAACCTACCTTATTATAGTATACTCACCTTTTCACTTAAAGGAAACACTTTATGGCTCTCGTTGACATATCTGAATCACCAGCATCGCTGCTCCTGCCTCTTGGGGCTATTATTAAGTAAAATACATCTTACTTAAACACAAGCACTGTGATACTGTGACAGTCAATCTGATGACCGACATGATTAAGTAACTAACGGGTGGATAGTGTATACAGCACAGAGACACTGGACAAAGGGATGATTCGCATCCCAGGCGGATGGAGCAGAGTGGCAGGAGACTTCATTACACTACTCAGAACAGCACACAATTTAAAAGGAATATTTTTTTCTGGAATTTTTCATTTAATATTTTTGGACCTTGGTTAACTGTGGGTGACTGAAACTATGGAAAGCAAAACCACAGGTAAGAGGGCACTACTGTACATACTGTACATACTGTAGTCTTTACACTTTTAGAATCTGTAAAAACCAGTGAGCACATATCCCCAGACATGCTTATTATTAATTTACAATGTATGTATTATACACATTATGAAACATAGAATCGAAAACAGACAAGAGAAAAGAAATACTAGAGGCTCCAGTATGTCTTTACATACTGCAATGGACTTTGAATACATGGACTCCCAGCCCGGGCAATGCTCTTACATCTTTGGAGCCCGTATGTGACAAAAACGCTACATTTTCAGGGCAGGATGAGGTCAGTCTGAGCTAGAGGGCTTTGGTATATATAAACTGTGAGGACAAAACTTCTACAAGGCCTTGGAAGGTGAGTAACACTTTATATAGCAAAAGGAGAGAGGGAGTAAAAATAACAAGAGACTGCCTTGTGCAGTAGGAGAGAGTTAGGGAAGAGGACAGGATGATCTGAAGTCAGGGGACTCAACTCCCACTGGCTCTGTCTCTTAATAGTTGACTGACTGCATGCTACATGATCTCGGAGTATTCATTTCCCCAGTTGTACCTATCTTACAGGATTATTTCTTAGATAAAATGAGATGGCAGGTGTGAAAAGCACTTTAAAGTTATAAAGCAAAATATAATTGTTATTTATTATTCTTATTTTCTTGGTTCCACAGGTCTTTGCTGTGTTGTATAGAATTCCTTCCTTTTCCCCCTTTAAACCATGGTTAGGGCCTCTAAAAAAGGAAGTTTAAATAGTTGAAAAAATGTGGGAAATGTTCAACCCTTCAAGTACTCCCCCCAAAATACTCCCAAAGCTAAGAATCCTCAAACTGGTGGCCAACTGTATTTCTTAGCCATTGGGTTCATGTTCAAGGCCCTGATTATTAACCCCCTATATTAGCTCCACTTTGCTTATGTCTCCTACCTCCCCACCTTCTCCCAGACCACTTCACCAAGTTACTAATCCCTCCATATTCCTCCAGCAGGACCTGGTAACACACTCCCCTGCTACAATATTAGCCAGGCCCCAAAACATTGACTTCTTATCATCTTTTAATTCTTAATTTTTTAATCAACTATCCAGATAAGAGAAGCCTTAAAGAATCGAGTAACCTCTGCAAAATGGATCTCCAGAATATCAGAGGTAAAGCCTTCATGTTCATTTTCTCACCTAAAGGTTTGACAAGTTAACAATGCTAGAGTTTCTGGCATATGGGGTGTTGCTAAAACTATCCTTTAATGCTCTGTGGTATGGAGTTTTCCCAAGTGCCCAGTGAACCTAGTGAAATTCTTTCTGGAGTCCTGGGACCACATCCAAAGAAATAAAACTCGACTTAAATGCATTCAGAGGAGCGTGACAAAGCATCAGGGCCAGGAGGGGTGAGCTGTACACCACACAGCAGGAGAGCAAGGGCTGAAACAGACAAACGAGAGAAGATTAAAGTCTCAGGTTCCCATGACAGCCCACTTGTTCTCTATGACTCTAACTGGTTGAACCACATCCAAAGTGTGAAAATTCAGGGAAACAAATTCTGATCCTCCACAAAGAACTATCTAGTAGCTTGGTTATCAAGAGGGGTCACGAGCCATAGTTATTGGACTTGTAAAGGAAGGTTAGGGGCCTGTTCAGTCATTGGATGGTATATATGCCCTTTCACTTATCATCACTTCCTATAATTTAATAACCATGTAGTATTGGTATGCAAGGTGCGACCTGGGAAAAACTGAAAAAAATTTAAATGGCAGCAAAAGAGGGGCTTCAGGGTCGGCCCAGGGAATATCCCCAGAAACAAGAGAAGAGGCCATCTGGAGTTCCCCACGCCAACATCTGGTGGGATCCACGCGGGTGGGATCCACGCGGGTCAGCATGGGCTGGTGTTGAAGGAGAGTTTCAGGCAGAGGGGTGACGGGCCATTCGAGGGGTTGGGCAACCTGGGATCCTGGGTAACAGCATTGCCCACTCCCTATAATCCTTGCCTTTCCATTCCCTCTCCTTTGCTTTCCTTAGCCCTCTTTTTGTTTTCTTCCCTTTATTTTTCTATCCTTTTTTACCTTACTCTCACCAAAGCTTTGACCTTATTTCCAGTCCTTGGTCTTTATACCCAGGAGATTGCTGACCCCTCTACATTCCTTTCTTCTAAAAAATAAACAACAACAACAACAAATAAAATAATGACACCTACCCCTCCAACCTCCCACCAACCTCACCATGTTTTTTTGAGAATAAAACAGTGGTTCTAAAGCAACAGTCTTCTAAAATAATAAATAAATAAATAAATAAATAAATAAATAAATAAATACCCAGGCCAGGTGGCTAATTTTGTTGGAGTGTCATCCCATGCATCTAAAGGTTGCAGGTTCAATTCCCAGTTGGGGCACATACCCTGTCAGGGCATGGGAGACAACTGATTGATGTTTCTTGAATCAATGTTTCTCTGTTTCTCTCTCTCTCTCTTCCTCCCCTCCTTTCTCTAAACATATCCTCTGGTGAGGAATAAAATAATAATAATAATAATAATAATAACAACAACAACAAAAATAATAAAGCAAAGGTACTCAACCTTAGCCAAACATCAGAATCAATCAGGATGCTTCAAATAATGTTGCCTGGGTCCCAATCCTGGAGGTTCTCATTAACTTAGTCTGCAGTGTGGCTTGGGTTTTGGGTGATGTTCATGTAGCCAAGGTTGAGAGTCATTCATCCAAGCCTTCCTGAAGTGTCTTAGCATCGTAAAGATTTTCACACCAGTACACCTCCTATCAGCATTCCCTACTACCTCACTCTGGTCTGCTACCATGCTCTCAGGAGAGAGGCATGACTCTTCCAATCCCTTCCCATTTAGCACAGCTCCTATCCTTATGTATTCTTAGTATTGATCCATTCAGGGAAATTCTGTTCTTCAATGGTTTGGAAAAATAGTATTAAATAGTATATTATATATATATTGCTTTCAGAGAGGAAAGGAGAAGGAGGGAGAATCATTGATCAGCTGCCTCCTGCACGCCCCACACAGGGGATCCAGCCGGCAACCCAGGAATGTTCCCTGACCGTGAATGGAACCATGACCTCCTGGTTCATAGGTCAATGCTCAACCACTGAACCACTCCAGCTGAGCAAAATAGTTGTGTTGTTTTTTGTTTTTTTTCCCTAAATATATACCAGGATTGTCAGGATCATATCAGAACCTTATTATCAGTTTTTTTATTGTCTGAGCTAGTGGTTTTCAATGCTGGTTGCACCTGAGAAATACCTAGAGAGTTTTTTTGAAATACCACTGTCCTGACCCCACCCACAGAGAATTAACCAGAAAGTCTCAGGGGTAGGGCCTAGTCTTTTTTTTTTTTTTAAGTTCTCTAGTGATTCTAAGTGCTGCCAGGGTTAAGAACCACCGGTCTACATACTAAGTAAATTTATCCTAACCTCTCGCAGCCCTTCCCTCTCTCTTCCCACTAATTTTCTGTTATTGGAAGTCAGTTTCATCAGCCTTGCTCAGAGCAAGCAGGCTTGCCATCTGTTTTCTCCTCCCCTGCTTTGCAGGCCTCTGACCCCTAGGTGGCAGTCCTCTACAGTCCAGGTTGAACTTGTGAGACCTGCCTGGAGTGTCAGCCCAGGTTCCCAACCCAGGCTAATCAATGTGCTTGTCTGGGTTCATTTAATATTTGATGTGATGAATTAGTCTATGCTCATGTGGTAATAATTCTACCAGTCAATTAATGCATTGCCTATCCTAGGCAACATATGCCTAAAACACAGGGTATTTTAGACTCAGGCCCATCACAAGGGGATGACTGTAACTTAGAAGATTTCAGCAGGTCAGCTAAGAAGAAAAGATTTAGTGGCTAGGAAATACGTTCTTGTTGATCTCTCCCTCTAGTCCACTCAACTGCCTTCTCTCCTTTCCCTCCCAAACTAGAGGCTCCTTCCAGAGAAGGAGCCAGGCAGGCCAAGGAGGGGCGATCTCTCCCGCCAGCCTGTTCCTGGGTTGTCAGCAGTTCGAATACAAAGAGAGGGAGAAAGTGAAATGTTAAAATAAATTGTTGTAGTTTTTAGTTCTCCATGTGCTTTGGATAATTGTGATCATTGAAAACAGAGCAATAATAACTGAAATTATACTTCTGTCTTCAACAGAACCTTTCTTCTGATTTCTCTTGTCGTCACACCAAAGGGCCGAGCTAACAAACCAGGCCACACTCCTAATTTGGGAGGTGAGTGCAAAGCAAGTGGGGTCCTATATACATGCTACACATAAGACATTTCTTTGGGGGGAAAACAATCACAATTTGATTCGGATTAGAAATGATTTTTGTCTTGATTGAAAGGATTCTCCTTATGCAATCTATCCTCATCTAGCTAATGTCAGAGGTACATTCACACTTCTGGTTCTCCCACTACCGAAATTTTGGTTGTTCCTATGAAACCACTGGGCCTGTCAGAGAATGTTCTTGAATCAGCATGGGTGTGTTTAAGAGGAGAGTGAGCAGAGGTGCTGGCTCCTCACAACTGCTCTCCCCTCACCCCCCTTTTCTAGTTCCCTAGCCCCAGGACATCCTCTGTGACATCAATAATATCCCCATGTTTCTCACTGTGGCAAATCTTTTCCCTCGTGCTAAACAATCAAGGAATTATGATACACGCTGTCTATGTGAGGTCTCAAGGATAACGTAGAAGTGCATTTACATTTGAGGACAGTGTCTGAGAGATATACAGAGACACAGAGAGAAACACAGTAAGAAAGGGAACCACGGGGGTGGGGGGTGGGGGAAGAGAAATAGAGATACTTACCAAGCGGCATGACAACTCACTGTTGGAAGAGAGCCATCTAGATACACAGAAATGTGCAAAGGGTCTTCCAATCGCTGTGTCCATGGCCCTGTAGATCTAGAGTGAGAAGACCAGACAGGGAGACAGAGACACCCACACCGGGACACCCACATTCACAATCAGGGAGAGAGAGGCACTCAGATGTATCTAGATGAGAGCCCACCACTCCCACCCCAACACATCCGGGTTCCAGCAGCCTCTGTGGCTGAGACCTTCTTCAACAGCCCAGGGCCTTTTACAATGAAAGGGATATTTCCCAGGAGGAAAGGAAGTGGTCCAGCTTAAAGAAAGACAAGGTTTTTAACTCAGCACTTGTAGGAAGTAGAACAAGCCTGTTCCCTGGATTCCAGAGGGACTTAAAGGGAAGAGCCTCTCCATCCACCAAGAAGACTCTACCCAAAGGGGGCTTATCATTCCAGAAAGAGTGAACCCACAGGACAGTTGGTGTGGGGCTTTAGGGTCTTGCTGCTTGTACATTAAAGCTGTGACTCTGTTCTTGACAAGGTCACACATTCCAGGAATGGCAGAACCCCCAGGAGAAGTGTGTTTATTCCTGTCGTCTGGCCTCTGGGGAGTATGAAGACAGCCTGTGGTGCTGATGGAGGAGAGCGTGACTACGGAAAGGATGGAAGGCCCCTCTGTCTACTTCTGTGCTGCTAATCGCTTCTCTCTCATCAACTGTCAACATATATATGCCATTCTGGGCATCTACAGGGAACAGAAAGACAAAGTGGGCCACAGCAGGGCCTTAGTCTTGTCGGGGCCTCTGGAAAAGCACTCTGGCTCATCTTGACGAAGGTGTCCTGGGATGTCACCTGGCTGGATTCTGTGGGTTGCTGAGGGAGGGGCCCTCACCAACAGTTGGGCTGACTCTAAGTAGGTCATTGCTGGCTCTCTGTACAAAAGGAATCCTATTGCCAGCATATTCCACTCCTCCAAATTGAAATGGTTGCATGGTCAACCTGGCTTGGGCTTCAATGCAACTTTTTTTTTGGCTGTGAACCAAGTGAAATAGGTAGAGCTTTTGAACCAGAAAGATGCTCATTTTAAGTTAATGAAGCCTAGAACAATGGGTCACAGCTAATCAAGGCTTGAGCCAAAGGCAAAAACCCAAGTCTGCAGGCTTCTAGTCCTGGGCTTTCTTCAAAGGCAAGGTACTGCTGAAGGGCACTGTCTACTCTGACAATATAATTTACCCTCTCCAACAGCATGTTTTTTTTATTTTGTTTATTTAAACCTGGGATGAGAAAGGGGAAATATCATGTTTCAAGTAGAGAGCTGCTCATTTTCTTATCTTTGTATGTAAACAAATTCATCATTCAAAGCAGGTCCCGCCTAATAGGAGATCAGTATTACAGATAGAAGCCCTTTAAAAAAAAAAAAAGAAAGAAAAGAAAAAGAAATGCTCCTTTATAAAATGAGTACACAGGTTGATGGATCAGAAGAAAATTAGTGGATAAAGAAAAGGGGTCATAATTATCCTACCAGAAGCCTGCACTAATGATGTTACATTACAAATGGAAACACAAGACTCACTTTGTGAATGAGTGAGATCTCTCTCTTTCTCTCTCTTACAAAAAATTTCCTCTAAGTAGGAAAGTTTGAGAAAGTTAAATTGTAATAAAGAAGTCCATCAGAAGGTAGAAAAAAATACACCAACCTGGAGAAGGAGTCATCTTCCAAGTGGCATTGCTCATGTCGGGACGACAATTGTCCCTGTCTCCAATGAGGGCAGAAACGACATTCCCAGTATTTCTGTGGGGTCTCTTCAAGGAAAGGGCGTGGGACAGGCACAGTGCCGGTTCTCAATGCACAGATTTCAGTGCAAAGAAATGTCCTTTACCCAGAGTGGATACATGGAAGTGAGGAGGGAACTCTCATGAAGCCAAATAGCTATAAGAATCTGAATCTGGAACTTTAGAAAGGACTGGGTCGTGCTGTCCCATTTTACAGATGAGAACTCTAAGCATGAGAGGGTGGGGGAAAGGGAGAAAGAGAGAGAGGACATTCACCCGCATTGTGCATTGAGCAGTCACATCTAGCATAAAAGCACACTCTACTCCAATGTACTCACACCCTGCAATAGGATGGCAGGGAAAACATTCTACCTAGGGATTATCATTAACCAAGAAAGGCCCATGGATGCTAAGAGAGAAACTCCGGAATTATTTGGGAATCCCTTGAGCAAGCTGTGCACTCTCCCCTGCAGCCTACCACCCAGTCTGTGGAATTATTTGGGAATTCCTTGAGCTGTGCACTCTCCCCTGCAGCCTACCACCCAGTCTGCTCCATCCTGAAAGATGTCAATAAACTTGCACGGACCAGCTTGGCTGTGGATGACCCTGGGTGGAAACACATTCAATGTCCTGTTCACACCTCACCAAGGAAGTGACTGGTCAGGTGGCTCAAGGAAAAATTGGTGCTAACAGTGTCTAAGACAGAGGCATGGTGAGAACGCATTGGCAGGTATTTAAATTTCTTGGACTTTAATTTTCTTACCTATACATTGAGGAAACTAGAGCCTACCTCATAGGGTTGTTGCAAAGATTAGATGAACATTTGGAGGTAAAGAGTAGAATAGCACTTGGCAAATAACAGTTGGCCATTAAAATGTTAGCAGTTTTCATGAGAGTACCTGTGAAGTCATGCACACACACAAGCACACACAAGCAAGCACACAGCTATAACCATGAGTTTGACTGGAGACACTCCCATGGCAGTTAGTCCAGTGACATCTAAATAAAAGAGTTAAGTATTTGATTCAGCCAATAAAGTCCGCTGAGCTTGCCATTGACTGAGCCTTTCATCCAATGTTACCAGGAACGAGTATACATAATGGTTCTACTCAGGGCACCCTGCGTCTGAGTTCTGCTTTACTCTTTGCCTTCTCTGTGAAGCCTCTCTTGACTCGTTCAACCAGAGTGCTGACTCCCCCCTCCTGGTTTCCTGTAATATTTATAATCTGTGCCATTCACTTCATGTTTAGTATTTATTGTGCTACATTGTTTACTCTCAGTATTTTTTGTGTGCATATATTTTCTAGATACCCCTGTAGACCTTTGGGGACACGATTACTGACCTTTGTGATTTACCATGTTACTCGCTTTTATATGTCCAAATGCAGACCAAGGCACCGTGCCCATAGAATATGTTCAATAAAGTCCTTTGATTACACAACCAAAGGTTTGATGATACTGATTTTTCCAATTCCCACATGGCCTGGTACTTGACTGGCAACCTCAATGAAACTGACCTATTTCCACAAGCGTCACCTCCCTGATCTTCCTGACTATAAAAGATAGAACCACAATGCCTTTCACTTCCCCTGGCAATATTTAAATGGAGATTTGCATTGAATTTTGGAGTCAAGAAGATATGTAAGTAGAAGACGCTAGAATAGAGATGTATGGGACTATTGGGTGATATGAAGGACAATACAAACTGGCTACCTGTCTGAAGTCAGGTTATGTGACATTTCCCGACTTTTCCTTCTGGTCTGAAGTCCCCATGGCCATGACCCCAGGGAGAGGCTCAGTAAGAACTACTTGGCCCAGTCACTAAAAAATAAAACAAAAATCTATTTGATGCTAAGGTAGGGATTATTACTGATCAATTGCCTAGGCTTTTTTCCCCCAAGTTCAACATCAGTACAGGCAAAAACATGATAGCCTTTAAACATTATCAACAACAGTGGCAGAACCTTGCATTGTATCCCCCAGTTCTAATTACACCCGTGCCATGGATGCAAACAGAGTCTGATCATCTGAGATAAAGGTGAGAAATTAAAGGACAAACAAGTGACTCATTCTAATGGCTCTGCTTCAGACAAGAGAAACCTGTAATTTCTCTTAGGCGTGCTTGACGGACCCAGGTGGAGTGAATCACAGACTTACACAAGACTTGAAACCACGGCCAGTTCTACAGTTCTCATGTTGGCCTCTCACAGCAGACAGCAGGTTTGCATGGGGTCTCCTGGATTTCCCCTTCAAAACATGGAGAAGAAGGACCGCAGCCCCTGAAGGGGGAACGGGGGAGGGGCCGAGGCAGGTGCACGTGATGGTGGGGCGCGGAGGTGGGAAGCTCAGCGCCGACCTTCCTGCTGGGCCGCTGGATCTCCTGGATGCCGTGAGTACACCTGCCGTGCCAGCACCTTTCTCCTGGAGACGGGATTGTCTTTGCTGGTATTCCAGAATGGGGAGGAGGTGTGATTCGGGATGGTATTTTCTGAAATGCTTGATTATGTAGGGATCTTTCCTAACATTATATAGAAATTGACTAGCTCAAGTTTAGAGTATTTTCTGTCTCCTTTACATTTGTTTTCCTTTAAAAAGCCATTTGTAGCTCAGTACGGGCAGCTCAGTTGGTGTTCGGGCATCATCCCGATTGGATCCCCAGTCAGGGCACATACAAGAATCAGCCAACGAAAGCATAAATAAATGGAGCAATAAGAAGATCTCTCTCTCTCTCTCAAATCAATGAATACAAAAATTAAATAAATTAAAAAAATAAAAAGTAATTTGTTAGGCTCTAATTGCTCAGTCCTAGGAGTGAAAGTGCAAAACACCTTGTCAGGCAATTAAACTGTCTGTTCTCCGATGGTCCCCTTGCTTGACGAATTGGATGAGCAAACTAGCTTGCAATTCCCTTCCTTTAGGCTGAATGTAAAGCTAGATTTTTCATTTTTAAATTTTTATTTTTTAATAAATCTTTATTGTTGAAAGTATTACTTATATCCTAGATTTTTTTTAAAATAAAGCATTCTCTAGTAGCTTGTTCTTTTAGTGGGGCAGACAAAGCTGTCTTTATATCAACTTACAAGGAAACATTTCCTACAGTTAAAAGTTGCTAAAAGGCATCCTCCCCATTTTGAGTGGCCACTAGTGTGGCACTTGATGATTTATGTCTCTTATACTCTGAGGTCAACTGTGGGAATGCAAATACGTTGCATCACAGGGTGCGATTTTTTAGTGTCAGCACTCCAGTGAGCTTTGTTCATGGAGCAGAGCAATTGCTCAGTATATCAATTTCTTTAAAATCATCTCAGCAGCAACATAGTTGCTGAAACGCTGAATGCCTTCGAACTCTGAAATCATGTGATTCTTCAAACTTGTCAGAATTTAAATCTGCAGTGCAATTCTCAGGAAAGATACTGAGCTATAAAAAGATTGGCTGGAAGCCATCTAAAATCGCCCAGGATGCGAAGTTTCTGGTTCTAATAGATCAGCGGTTCTCAACCTGTGGGTCGAGACCCCTTTGGGGGTCGAACAACCCTTTCACAGGGGTCGCCTAAGACCATGGGAAAACACATATATAATTGCATATTGTTTTTGTGATTAATCACTATGCTTTAATTATGTTCAACTTGTAACAATGAAAATACATCCTGCATATCAGATATTTACATTACGATTCATAACAGTAGCAAAATTACAGTTATGAAGTAGCAACGAAAATAATTTTATGGTTGGGGGTCACCACAACATGAGGAACTGTATTAAAGGGTCGAGGCCTTAGGAAGGTTGAGAACCACTGATCTAGAATAATGAGGTGTGCTCATGACTAGGCGGCTGAAGTGGCTAGAACAGCAAGCAGGGCTCCTAGAGGGCATCGAAGGCACAAAGGTCCACTCATCACTTTATTCTTATCCAAACTGGCCAAGCGGCCAATGCTCTGTACACCTAAAACCCGGTGCCCATTCTTGGAGAGCAGGAAGTGCGAGTTTTTGCAGACAGCCAGTGAACACGTGAAAATATGCAAACCGATGGCAGGATTAGGAGAAAGCACACAAATGTGAGCATTTGGCACCACCCTAAGAAATTAAATGGGAGGCTGAGAGCTAAACAGGTGAAAAAGTGCATGTAGTCCATGTTTATAAATTTCATGTATCATTGAAGTGAAAAACCTGACAGAATTTGATGGTATTAAAAAGATTTCAACCACCATTAGAGTATCTTGAAGAAGTATGCAATATTCATGGATTAGATGGATAGAAATGAACACAATGTGTAAAGGATAAACAAAAAAATTTATTTTCATTTTTTTAAAAATATTGATTAGCATATCATTAAGAAAGGTAAATGATAAAGATTTTTTTTAAAATTACACATTAATCTGTTATTTTATAGGAAGTATATTTTATACAATCTGCCAAATTCAAAGGTAATTATTATACTTATTTTGAACATCCTATATAATAAAAAGCTAATATGCAAATTGTGCCCTCCCCCAGGAGTTCAACCAGTGGGTGGGGCCAGCTGGCCAACCACCCAAGGCCCCTCCCCTGGCTTGCCGCACCCCTGATCAGCCCCCTCACCCCGATTGAGGCAGGCCAGCTGGACCCCACCCATGCATGAATTCGTGCACTGGGCCTCTAGTAATTAATAA